AAAAAAAAAAAAAAAAAAAAAAAAAAAAAAAAAAAAAAAAAAAAAAAAAAAAATTCTCCAAATCCAGAAAAAGCGAAAAAAAAAAAAAGAATAAAAACCACAAATGATGAGGCGGTGGGTGGGTCTGGTACACTATGTGTGAACTAGCCAGCAACTAATTTTTTCCAATCAGGTACTAAAAAAGTCAAATGTGCCGTAACCAAACTTTTAGACTGGATTGCAGATGTAGATGATGAAGGTGATTACTGGCTAGAAAAATTCAGGGAGTAGGGAGTGTCAGGGTTTATTTATATTTGATTTCTGGGAAAAGTAGCAACTGTAACCGTGGTCAAAATACCTTGACAAATGTGTAACTTAACTGCAAAAACAAAAAACAAGGACAAAGGCTTTCAAAAGCAGAACAACAAAGCTAATCCTTAAAAAAAATAAAATGTGTGCCCAATTCAAAGAAAAAGTTTCTGCGGTTATAGCTGTAGGGGTAGGGGATGGATGATGAGTGGGTTTTTCTTTTTCTTCAAAACCAAGTTGTAGGGGGGTGGGGGTGGGAAAAAGTTTAAATAGAAAGTGAACCGGTTAATGTGAATTTCTTTGAAAACAGTCGTAATGAGTGCAATGGCCAAGAAGAATGTCCTATGATATTTCTCTTTGAGTAGGGATTAAGCTTTGTCAATGGCAAACAAAAACTGGGTGAGAATTTAGCTTTTCTGTTTTGGAATAGACTTTGGTGAAAAGTTTAATGTATTTGGGATTGTCAATGGGATTATATATTCTGTATTTGATTGCAACCTGGAGCCTTGCGAATGAAGTTAAATATGGCAATGTGCCAGAATTGATAAGATACGAGTAGTCTTACTCTGCCAGCCCGCCACATCTCGGCAAAGACAACACTTCACACACTTCACACACTTTCTGGTTGCCTTTGAATAGTTTGTGCTAAGAAAACAAGAAAATATTGGACTCTGTGTATGAAGATATTATTTTTTTTTCATCAAAGATTTTGGCACTCGCCTGAAAAGCATACAATATGTGTTCATTTCAACAACAATGACCGCCTAGTTTTGGGGAGACTCGATTTATACTACGGTACAATCTTTTACGGATGGTATACTCCCATTTCCTTTCCCCACAGTCCAACAAGGGCACACAAAAAGGAGGTGCAAAAAAAAAGGAAAAGAAAACAAAGTTGACTTTTTCCTTTTTGGCAATCGGTACACGTACAAGTACACAAACTACAATATATACGATTCTTTGTTTACACACACACACACACACTCTCTCTCTCTTTCTCTCCCCAGTGTAGATTTAAGGTTTCGTAAGTTTGTGTTCCAAAAATTTCAGCAGAAAGCTTGATTCTGGATATACAAGATATAGATATATAATATTGGGCGATATGTTTTAAAAGGTTATTACTATATGTAGTGTTTGGTTATTATTATTGTTATTATTATTATTATAATCCGTTAAAGCTGTTGATTGTCTCTTACGCAAAATTGGACCAAGGAGCATGGAGAACGCTTTATGAGCTTTGAATGATGATAAGGAAAAGTATACGATATGAGACCCCAGAACAGCAGTCAAAATTCACCTCTTTTTTTTTTTCATTTGAGCGTGGTCTATTTTACAACACCATATCTTGCATCCCTTTGCCAGATACGAGATTAACCCGCCCCGTATTTTCATCTATTTCTTTTTTTTCTTTTTTTTTTTTTTTGCACGTAAGTTATAAAATAAATGACGGTTGTGACATCTGATCATTCATGTAAATATAATAATCGCTTATCATCATCATTGTGCTCCTTTTTTTTTTCCCAATTGCATGACATTGCATTACTCGGTATTAGCCTCAGTCGTCATCCCTGAAACTATTTCATAAAAGAAAAAGTTCGTTGTCGCCTTTAAGTGAAAAAAAAATAAAAAGCAAGCATTGCAAACCACGCCTGCTAGTTTACACTGAGGCGGATTGTGATTAATTCTTGCCAACCAGCCCAATGACGACCAATCACGTGTAAAACAAGAAAATCTCTGGCTGAGGACCTGTGATTGATCATACCATTGATGGGGTATATGCAGTGAACTCACCGTAAAACTCAACAAGGGCGGCCTTTTTTGATTACCACGAAATTATCGGGACAAACCATCCAGCCAATATGAGTTCCATTTTGCTCTTTTTAGGAAAGAAAAGCATAATCTAACGTAAGATACACTGCATCATTACATCGTAGTGATAAAAGAGGTGATACTTTCTCAGAAAATGAGTCTTGCATTAGTATACATCGTTGCCCAGGACACATGAACTTATTCACTGAACCTTGTGATAACCTTACAACCAGAACAATACTCTACGCAGACCCGTGCTGATTCAATCCGTCTAATCTATCACGTGGATGCTGGCCTACTAACCTACTACCGCCACCCATCCACTGATTTTGTGTATCCCACAACTAACGCCGTGCGCCGCGGAGGTAACAAAAAAAAATAAAAAAAAAGAACGTGTCCCTTTCGGAGTTATAGCCTTGCCTCCTTCACGACAGAGATCTCCCAATTGAAGACAACAACCGTTTAATGAGGGAGAATAGTATAGCAGTTACTCCTTATCTCTAAGCATAACTTATACTCCTCTCTTGTGCAAACTCTTTCTCATGACTAGCTCTTTGTCCTATTTCCTTTTTCTCGGCTATAGATACGGCAGTTTCGAAGAATCTTTTTCAAAACCCATTTCATGCGGCATTTCAACACCATCCACTAGAGTATCATAACCATCTAAATTGTACGATTATCACTCAATTATTTCCCTACAGTCTTAGCTTCGTCTATTTATAAAAATTTCAAAACAAACAAAGAGCGAACAGGAACGAGCGCACATGCGGATGATGGAAAAAAAAAAACAGAAAAAAAAAGAAAAAAAAAAAAAAACAAAAAACATAAATTTGATTTTGCAAAATCGTGTGCCTTTATATAAAAGACCGGCATTGACATCACAGACAACAAGATCAAAGCTCCCTCCTTGTGCAATGAGCGACCAATCGGTATACTATGGAAGATCAGTCAACAAGGTCTACAACCAAGAGTTCATCATTGACCGAAGATTCAAAATCATCAAAGAGTTGGGCCAAGGGGCATATGGTATCGTGTGCTCAGCCAAATATGACGACGGAACCAGCAACGATCCAAACAACAATCTGTCCTCGTCATCAGATGGGTCGTATGTAGCCATCAAAAAGATCACCAATATATTCAGCAAAAAGATTCTTTGCAAGCGGGCATTAAGAGAGATCAAATTGTTGCGGTTTTTCAGAGGACACAAGAACATAACTTGTCTTTACGATTTGGACATCATTCCTAATCCATTGACAGGGGAATTCAATGAAATCTATCTTTATGAAGAGCTAATGGAGTGCGACATGCACCAAATCATCAGATCGGGCCAACCATTGACGGATCTGCATTATCAATCGTTCATTTATCAAATATTATGTGGGTTAAAGTACATCCACTCGGCAGACGTGCTACATCGAGACTTGAAGCCAGGTAATCTCCTTGTAAATGCAGATTGCGAATTGAAAATTTGTGACTTTGGTCTCGCTAGAGGGTTTTCGGAAAACCCAGAGCAAAACCAGGGGTTCATGACTGAATACGTGGCAACTAGATGGTACAGAGCACCCGAGATTATGCTCAGTTTTACAAACTATACAAAGGCCATTGACGTTTGGTCTGTTGGATGTATATTGGCTGAATTGCTTGGTGGCAAACCTCTTTTCCGAGGTAAAGATTATGTTGATCAATTGAATCAAATCTTGATGATTTTGGGAACACCACCCGAGTCAACGTTGGTCAAAATAGGATCTCAAAGAGCACAAAATTACGTTAGATCCTTGCCAATTATGAAAAAGATCAGCTACAGACATCTCTTTCCCGATGCCAACCCATTGGCATTGGATTTGTTGGAAAGAATGTTGACATTGGATCCATATGAGCGGATTAGCGTCAACGAGGCATTGGAACATCCTTACTTGGAAGTATGGCACGATCCAAGGGACGAACCTGAATGCCAAGTTAAATTCGACTTCAAATCATTTGAAACCTATGACGAACTTGATGAAATGAAACAATTCATTATGGATGAAGTTAAAACATTTAGAGACTTTGTTAGAAAACCAATAGAGGAGCAACAGCAAATACAATTGCAAATGCAACTCCAGAACGAAGAGAGACAAGAAGAAGACCAACAGCAACAACAAATACAAAACAAAGCATTGGATGTTAGCTCATCATCCGCAAACACTCGCGAAAATGACTATCCTAAACCACAAGAATTGAATGATTTTTCGTTTCAAAGTCTTGAGTCAAACAACTACCACTACGATACCAGAGACGAAAGTATGAGTGGTATAAATTTAAACGATTTTCCAAACACACTAGGACCTGATTACTACAAACTTGAAGAGGAGCTTGGGTTTGGACTAGATGGAAACACGTTTGACAATTTTAATCATCAGTAATGTTCTTTTTTTTTTTTCTTTTTTTTCTTTCGTTTTCACTCTATGTGTACTTTATACTTGAATAGATCGCCGTTTTTACAAAAACACCAAACAGTTTGATTGTCAATAAACACATTGTCAATCTTCCCATCAGGCACGACGCTTGCTAAATCTATTGTTGCCAAAGGGATCGATATTGAGGGCAAGTATTTGTCATTCACAATTGGCGATATAATGGTACTACCTTGAATAAACGTTTTGTTGGAACTTTTTTTGATTCTAACGTCAAGCAATTGCTTGTAAAGTGATACAACTGCTTCAATTGCTTGGGACTTGGGCGAGTGGTCATCCAGCAACACACTCGTCAAGTTTAAACTTTTAGTTGACAACAAATTGGTAAATGAAGGGGTGTTCAATATCGGGTCTGAGGACAAGTTTCGACGGTGTGAAGATCTTGAGTGCACAGGACCAGGACTGGGACTTTGCGTCACAATTTGGATACCGTTTTTCTTTTCGTGAATTGACCGTCTGCTTTCGCGTGGCTTGCTCTGGGTTGCAGCATGGGGCTTTTTCACCCGTGGGATAGCCTTGTAATCAAACTCCCAAGCAAACACCTTGCCATCATTTCCACAACTAACAAGCTTATACACAAGCAGAGAATCATCGCAATTGCCCTTTAAAAATTGTATGGACTTGACCGAGTTCGTGTGCCCCTTCAATCGACAGACAATCTCCACCGACTTGATAACTGGTGGGTACCCCTTTTCCGGATGAAGTTCCTGCAAATTCTGCAAGCTTTGCAAACTGTGGGTGGCTGCCATACCGTTGTAATGAGAATTGTGACTATTCACAGTCCCGCTTCTAGACCTAGCTTGGGGTCGCTCCAGTTTCTTCAACAACCCCGTGATATTATAATACGTCATCTTGAACACTTCAATCAAGTCGCCTTTACCGACAATGGTGAAAAACTTGAAATCGGGGCTAAATCTGACGTCGGATACACCAGAGTTGAAGTAATTGGGAACAATGTCAGTGACTATGCTATTTGCAATTTCTTCTTGATCAATGCGGTAGGTAAACATTAAATCCACAATCTTGACAAATCCGTCCTCCGAGGCAATTGCCAACAAGAGCGGCTGCAGGTCTGTTTGCAGCGAACCTTCCACTGGCAATGTTGATGCAATCGCAGTTATCGATTTATGGCACAATTTGAAATGCCCAATCAATTGGTCATCTGTAGCATGTCCAAAAATGCTCAAGTCGAATTTGCGAAAATAAGTTACATACGAATCTGTCTCGACAACTTCCTTTTTGTAATTTCGCAACTCATTTCGCCCAAATGGATTGAGGATGAAAACTTCACCATTAGAAGTTCCAGCTACAATCAAGTACTCATAAAGTGGATGCCGTATGACCTGGACAGTTGACACATTTATCATGTTCAATGAATGTTCCAGCGTGTTCAAATTTAAATCAATCAGTTTAATCTTCATACTTCTTGGTTTGATAATCAGAACCCTACCTAAATTGCACCCAAACACAATTATAGGCTCGTCATTCAATACAAATGCAACAAGCGACGTTATAATACAGGTATTGCTAAATTGTAGTCGTAGCAACGGCTGCTCAATTTTGAGCTGCTCTTTGTGCGAGCCAACTTCCTTTGTATGTTCATACTCCGAAGATTCAGATAATCCAAACACATTAAGCACATTGATATTTCCAGATATCAAAAGCTTCCCACAGGATGCAAAATCATCATTGTAACTCAAAATACTCACACCTGACGATTCGACATTTTCGTAGAAATCGTCTTTAACAAATAGTTTATTAAGATTCGAGGTCAACTTATTGAATGGATTTTTTGATTGAAATCTCGTCCTCGTTTCCAAGATTGTTGTCAATGCACCCGGATTCGTATTTGGATTTCGAAATGGGTCTTGTGTTAATGGATTGACATTTGCCCCGATGTGCAAATTTCCTTCTTGTCGCTTGTCACAGCGGTGTACCTTTTCTTTGAAAGAGTTCACCACATGTAGTGGTAAGGAAACATAAGTGGTCGATTCAAATGGACCCATTGGCGGACGTGCAACATTAAGATATTGCTTTTCCAACTTTAATTTGGCATTAATCAGTTTGCCATTTGCTATTGGCCATGAAACTCCCCATGTCGATTCAGCTATGTCATTGGGTAAATTGTGGTGTACGTTTTCTTCTAGCTGTGTATATCCGGGACAGACCGAGTTGAGGTATAGTGAAACGTTGGCCAATGGCGTCTCAGTAGTATTCAGTGGATTCTGTATCATCTTGAAAGAAGTATGTCGATAAGTACCCTTTAGTATTCAATCAAATGCCCAAGCTAGTTGTTCACTCAATGCTACCTGGCTCCTGCTCAAATGCACATTAGATAACCCCGAAACCGTATGAAGCTCTATTTCTTTGGGGCCAACAAAAAAAAAGACAATGCCCGATAGAAAAAAAAAGAGAAAGAAAAAAAAAAAAATCTGTGTTTGCAGAAAGAAATCCAACCGAAATTTTTCACCATCTTCTCCTTCTCCTTCTCCTTCTCCTCCACCTCTCAACCTCCCCATCGGAAGTTAATACCTTGCCGCTACAATGCTAAGACTATTTCAGAACAGTGCACTCGCAACACCGCTACTCAGACCTCTGGCATCCGTCACATCCTTGCGTGTTATTCCTTTCAGATGCAGCTCAACGAGTAATGATAAGCTGGCAGCCAAGGCTTCGAAAACCGAGTCAAACATCAATATCGACGACTTGCTTAAACAGTTCATTCCCAACTTATCTTTCAGCGAATCGATAAATGAGAGGTTCGGTTTTGAAGCAAATAGACAACCAACACCACGTGAAGTGGCTAAAGGAATAAGGGAATTTGGCACCAATGCGGGAAGAACGGTCGATGTCAATTACAACAATTTGGCTAGAGCATTTACTCAGGTAAAGAGACTTGGTAATGAAAACAAGATCAGATACTTGCAAAAAATTCAATCAAGATACATCCGTCCAGCTAAATACAGAAAACAATTAAAGAGAGAATGGTGGAGAAGGAAATTTTCAGCTGGGTTCAAAGACTTGTTAGCTCAAGTGAATGATGCTAGAAGAAGAGGATACTAAGGTATATAAGCTTGTAAATATTATGTCTGTTGTGTTGGAAATGCTCTGTTTACCTTTACCTTTAGGTGGAAAGCGGAGTCAATAGAAGCTCTTTCATCTTGCAACTACGTCGGTCACCCAGAGGGGAGGACACTTCGTATAAATACCGAAGATGAGACTGGTGCTTGTGGAGGCCACCATCGTCGTCAACTCAACCTGTTGTTGACTTGCACAGTTTTCCTAATCGCGCATAATATTTTTGCACAATCACCACCATCAAAGTATCTCGCTAATCACCCGAGTCACCAAGTGCATAAGGATGAAACATGAATCTACCGAAGTGGAGATATCTCTATTGTGGACGATGTGATAGACAGTTTTAACTCCGGCCAAATGCTTGACTCCTCGTGAAAGGTTAACTCCGCCCCCGCCCGTTAAACTATAGATAACCTCCTCGACACTCTCCACACCACTTCGTGCCAGATACCCAACCATGTGAAGTATATATGAACTCCTATCCATGTCAATGATCCACCCTCACTATCCTGTTTCCACCCTCACTATGCTGTTCTTCTCCAAAGCCAATGAGTCAATCCAAATCTAATCTTGACGACATAAAGAGATTAAAGGATGTTGTTTTCGAAGAAGCTGGTGGCTACTTAGATATATTGTACAACAATGCTGGTATAGCCTATGGTGGGCCCGCAATTTGCGGGGATGAAGCAAAGGTGGACAAAATTATTCAAGTTAATTTGACAGCTTATATACACGTCACCAAACACCTTGCTCCATATGTCATCAATGCCAAAGGTACGATCCTATTTACCAGTTCCGTTGCAGCAAGGATTCCACTCGCCTGGACCAGTTTTTACTGCGCCACAAAAGCTGGTATTGACGCATATGCATTATCATTGCACGGGGAGATGGAACCATTTGGTGTAAAAGTTCACAGTGTCATTACTGGCGGAGTGAATACCGCAATTGGTGGTAATTATAGGGTTGAGGAGGCCGAGAAAGTATTTTTTGAACTCACCATATCACGTTGACGGTTATCAGGAGAGTGGTCTTGCAACTAAAAAACATGGCCAGGACTGGTATTAATCCTGATGTTTATGCCAAAGATTTGGTTCCAAAGGTGTTGAAGAAACTGAATAAATTCAATTTGTATGTTGGGGGATGGTCCTACAATTTGCATATCATGGGTAGATTCTATCCATTATGGCTCATGGAATATCTTATGCAATTTGCGTTCAAGCAACTAAAGGTATTTAGTGATATCAGAAAGTCTAGGAAGTACTTCTAGAAGAAGATTTATAATTTGGTAGATGTATAAATTGAAACGCTGACCCAGTGTTGTAGATTTGAGTAATTGCTTACCATAAGTTCCTAATAACCTGAAATGGCTATATGGACCACGAGAGACAATTACGTGTACGCTACTTACATGCCATTTACATGCCATTTACACCTTATCATCTCAAACAATTCAACACTCAGAATCATCGGATTAACACTTGAGATTTTGTGTCGCAAAAAAAAAAAAAAAAAAAAAAAGGCCCGGGCCGTGTTTCAGCACACTTATCTCTCATCCACCAACATCCTCCCTCAAATGTCCAGCAACGTGCACAAGGATAACCAGTCAATTCCTGCAATAACCGGCAAATTGGATGTCAAACATGCGATACACATATTCCCAGAGCAGTTACAGCCGTTTCGATCAGGAATTCTTGCATACGGTGCGTCACTAGCATCAACGTTGATGGGGTACCCACTAGATACCATGAAGGTGCGAATGCAAACACACAGCCATTTCAAGGGCTACATCGACTGCGCGAAGAAAACATACTCGGCAGAAGGGTTGAGAGGCTTTTTCAGAGGGGTGTGGGCTCCACTCATTTCCACATCTTTTTCCAAATCGCTCAATGTTTCCATCTATACCTTCTGCAAACCTCAAGTTTACCTGGCGATTTTCCAAAACAGTTGGTACGGTAAGGTGCGACAGGAGCATCCCTTTTGGAGAAATATACCAGTTTGCTTCGTTTCCGGTTGTTTCGCAGGGGCCGGTGTAAGTGTATTTGCGTGTCCATTTGAATTCATCAAAGTATACTCACAGTTGGAAAAACTTGTCACCGCAAATTCCTCCTTGGGAAGTATCAAGACGAGGTTAGGAACTCCAACGACTTTACAAATATGTAAGACGATTGTCACATCGAGTGGGTTGAAAGGACTTTATTCTGGGTTCAAATTGCACCTTCTTAGAGATTCGCTATCTACTGGTGTTTACTTTAGTTTATACGAGCTGATCAAACTATTTACCAACGATTTGACAAACAGAAATGCCTCAACCACATCACCTTTTGCAGTTTTATTATCCGGTGGTCTATCCGGTGTCCTCAGTTGGATCATCATATTTCCCGTAGACACAGCCAAGTCGTTAGTGCAAAAGGCCGCGGTGGTTAACATATTCAGAAAACTGCACGGATTGTCGCAGGCACCAGTTGATGACACATTCAAAAAGAAGGAGAGTTGGCGTTATCGTGGCTTGGGAATTTCCGTTACAAGATCGTTTTTAACAAACATGGTCTTTTTTGGGGTGTTTGAGTTTGGCATGACTTATCTAGCTTAGATTATATATACTAGAACCTATTTATTCCAATTTACGTTTCTTCTTGAGTGGCGACTTTGACCTGGTTCTGGATGCGGGGTGATTCATACTGACAGCCGACAGATGACGAAGTGATTCGGGAAGATCCGCACTTATTCTACCCCTTGAATTTTCCTCGCTCTCTTCATTGTCACCACCGCTCTCATCCAGGTTCTCCAAAGCTCCGAAATTTGCAATCTCGCTTAAATGCAAACCAAGAATCCTACGTTTCCTCGAACGCAGCCTTCTCTTTGATGGATTGAGCCTGTGAATTGTAGGGGCAGGATCCTCAAACACAAGTGACGGGGTTGAAGGGTCCAATCGAGCAATGCTTTCCAATGTTGCTTGTGTTTGTTCCAATCTTGGAGCAGGCGACTCGCTCAAGTCATGCTGCTGATCAGAACCCACTATTGAGAACCCCTGACTCGTTTTTTGGATTGTCTCTTCCTCAACTTGATCGTGTGAAATTGGGCTCTGGCTCAGAAGACCACTTAGGGAGCTTATTGCATTTCTAGAACCTTCTTCTAATTCGGTCCGCTCAGTTAGCTCGACCGACGAGTCTACCTTATCCTCATCGGAGATTAATTCATCACTGTGATTAGCATCGATTACCGTACTCTCGTCCTCGATTAACTTTTCTAGCACAGGCGCAGACAAAGTAACATCCGGATTTCTCACGGGTACCATCGCAGTAGAGGTCTGAAGGTGACCATGTCTCCGGGATTTTCTTCTTCTCCGCCGCCTTGTCGAGGGCCTGGTGTATGTAATTTCAACTTCGACCTTGCTGATTGCCTCGTCATCTCTTTCGTCAGAGACTTCATCCCTGAGGAGTTGTCCCTCCAACTTCTTTGCTATTTTTGAAAATGAGTGTAATCTTCGAGATGCAAAATCGGCAAACTTGATAGGGTTGGTGACCCTCTTATCAACGCTGTTATCACCGCTGGATTCGCTCACATCTTCACAATACCCCCCTTCTTCAATTTCTTCTACAAAGTGTGTTACCGCTGAAGCAAGATCATGTGCAAAATCCGACTGATCAACTTGTGAGGTACTCTGACTTGCAACATTGCCCTTGTCGACTTCGTCGCTACCTGTATCACTCATCTCAGATCCTCCGTCATCCATTTTCTCAACAAAGTCTGATACAGTATTAACCAAGTTTCCGATTCCGTCTTTGAACAATCCAGTTGGCTCATCAACTTGTAAAACAGAAGGAGAACTGCTATCCTTTTCTATTTCAAAACCAGTTTCTTCTGGTGACAGACCTTTTTTGGATCCATTTTCTTTTGAGTTGATTTGTGTCAGACTTCCTATGCTGACAACTTCCTCATTTGTTAACGCTTTTGCAACGTCATCGATTTGAGACATATCATACACATTGGAACCATTGTCCGGAATGTCACTGTGATCGACTAAAGAGTCTGCATTCTGTATTTCCTCATCTTCTTCCAGTGATGTCGTGGAATCCTCATTCTCGCCATCACTAGATGTACTCTCGGATGCATGACTCTGCCTAAAATAATCACCTCGCAACACTTTCTTGAAAAATTTACTCGCTGCTTCAATTGACAAAGTCTCACTCTTTATTGAATTTGGAGTGGTTTCCTCCTCACCACCAGAGGAGTCTCGTAGCGGTATGTCGTCGTCGTTGCCATCGCCGTCATCCACCTCGGCTGATTCTGTCGCTAATTCAAGTACGTTGTCATCCTCATCATCTAAATCACTCGATCCTTGCTCATCCGATAGCGAAACCCGAACTGAACCAGATGGTCTAACAGACGGACCTACGTTGGGAAAAATAGAAAACAATCTTTTGCGTACTTCGGAAGGATTCAAGACCAGCCCACTAGGGTTTGCTAAACTTGCCTCATTGGTTTTCACGGATGCAGTTTGAGGTTCCAGTCTTTGAGCCCGCAGATCAAAAAACTCACCCAGTCCATTGAATGATTTCTCTTGGAACTCACGATCCATTTCATCATTTTCAGCCAAACGATAAGCCAAGTCTATCACATCTTGAACTAGTTCATGATTGATATTCTCAAAACTTGGGGCTGGATCCTGTTGCAAAGCGTAGACCAGTTCTTGTCCAATTTTCTCTTCATCAGAAGCATTTACAAGCACTCTTCCATCATCAACAGAACCTTTATCATTTGAGGCTGTTTTAGTAACATTGTTTTGTTCACCGTACGAGTCCGCACGCTCCTCATCGTTTATATTTGAGTTGTTGATGCCGGCACCAATTCCATCTTCTTTATTGAGGGTGAAACCTTCCTTCTCACTCTCTGATCCATCACCAATGTTAACTAGCTCCTCAATGTTTGTAATATTTTCATGAATTTCACCACTTTGGGGCCCTGGCTGTAACTCCTCCTCCTCAATACCCAAGACTTTCGCTTGTGGCGCAATAACTCCCAAGAGCTCTTCAACATCGTCATTCGACTCATCATAGCTATTAGTCTCCTTGCTTTCATCTATTGCTCTCATACTCTCGTCATTCTCAGTGGCAAATGTGGTCTCGTGTATTGAATCAAGATATGGGGGATCAATGTCATCCCTGTCAACCTCTTCGGAAACTTGATGTTTCGAGATGTCAATGTTGTCACCACCTGGGGCAACTGTGCTCATGATTTCCCCACTCTGGTCACCGCTAGCATTTGTCTGGAGCTTTGCGCTCATTTCGTCATCCTCTCTTTCTGAATTCGGTACATTCTTTTCAGCAGATTCCGCACTAGCACCAACAAGTTCGTCACCGAATGAAACATTTTGAGTAGATAAATCGAGTGCTTCATCTACCTCCAGTCCATCAATTCCGTTCTGCTCTTCGGACAATGCGCCAGAGTCCGATCCCACTTCATCACCACCACCACCTTCGTCAATTTCCATTTCATCCAGACCCAAGCTGTTCGAGTCGTAGAACGAAGAACCTGAGCTGCTGTCGGCCTCAATGCTTTCCAAGACGGGAACAGAAATCCTTGTGGCCTCAGTTTGTGAAATTGAGTCTCCCGAAATATTGCTATCTCGTTCATACACAGATTTGGCATCACTGGGTTCCTCAGGTGGTTCAGAAAATGATCTTATTGTATTCTCTAGCTCCTCAACAGCATCGATCTTTATATTGTATTTTTTTTCGGCCTCTTTCAAGTTCTGCAAAACAACTACAGGATCATCTTCTTCCTCTATTGATTTGAAGATTGGTTCCGGTGGGCACTCATCACTGAAATTTTTGGCATTGTTCGCTTGGACAGAACACGGAAGCTCCGATTTTGGCACAGGCTCAAATAGTTTTTCTTGCATCCATTCAGAGGCTACTTGTTTCTTCTGGAGACTTTCGCTATCATCAGTATGCATTTGTACTTCCTTGAGGTGATGTGCTTCACTCCTATGCGACTCGTATTGGCTTTCATCAGCTAACGAGCCCTCAGATCTATTCTCGTCTAGATCATTAACCTTCATTCTCTGCTCGCTCAATTCTTGCGCGTAAAATGGATCTGGTACTGGAGCCAACTCACCGGGACGGTAATCCTGATGACTCAAGTGGGCGTCAGAGTCGGCATCATCATCTTTTGAATGTTTTGGTAGATTATTATCAGTGTATTCCGCGTCGGCCATATACCCTGATTGAGTTTGAGCCTCTTTGAAATTGTGCAAGGATCTATCGCCAAACGATTTGATGGTTTTTAAAATATTGTACGCATTCGAAGGAGCGTTCCGAGGATAATCATTCTCTTCATTGTCTTCTTCTTCGTCCGCAAACCCTTCAGCTTGTGAATCCAAATTTGAGCGTAAGTCTTCCGACTCTGAAAGGTGAGGAGACACAAGAGATCTTGTATTTGCTGAAGCAGGAGCCACATTATGTTTTGGAAAGTTTGCATCTATGGAAGCGTATTCACCGTAATCGAGTGATTCAATGCCCGAGTCCATGCTACTTTCACCCAGCAGTTGATCCACCTCCACTCGAGAAGTTTGCTTGTAATCATTACCTTGTATTATCGATTTGAATTCGTCATACTCTGACTCGTTGTTGAGGAATCGAACATCTTTCTGTAACTGAAGATCCTCTTCAAGGGAATCGTCATGTTTTGTAATGAGCTCTTTTTCAAAAGGTGATTCAACCTCAACCTCATCTTCTTCTTCACCTTCTTCATCCTCATCTTCTTCTTCACCTTCTTCATCCTCACCCTCTTCCTCATCTGACTCATAATCTAACTCAGAATCAATTTTCTGCCCATCATTGTCATCTGCATGAGGGCGTATGGATTCTCTCCCTGAAATCTTTGGATCGTAAGCTGCATAATTCCGTTCTGGCTGGTAAGGACTTCGATTATCTTTATCCGCATACTCTTGTTCGTATCTTTCGTCTTCATACTCCTCCTCCACATTGTAATATTCTTCATACTCTCCTTCCTCATTATATTCAGTTCTCTGGTAAACATCACCTGTAGTGTGCTCCTGAGTAGCGTAAGAAAGGCTATCTCCATAAGAATCTATCTTCCCCGCAGAAGGTGGTGCATATGTTAGTGCACTATGCGCTGTTTGATAAAGATGCAAATCATTTCCATAGCCATGATGTGAACTGTGTTGTTGATTGGAGGTAGAAGAGGGGTTGTATGACTCATTTTGCAGCTCTTCGTCTGCTTCTGAACTAGAGGCAATTTCAATCACACCATCACTATTTTCGGAAACGCCAAGGTCCATCGCGCGTACTTCTGCACTTTCCATATCGGTATCTTCCTCGTCGTTTTGACTGTATCCCAGTTCCGCCTCGCCTTGATCAGAACTATCGATTTCGATTTCGATTTCTTCCACATCGTCGTCTTCTTCATCGACACGTTCCTCTTTCCTGTGGTGTGCCCAATGAGGCAACTGGTCGGGGTAAGAAGATGGTGCATTTTCAGACAGCGATCCTGCTTGTAACAATGCCTCAGCGGCTGCCTCCTTTTTCCGCGTCTCTTCGGCCTCTCTTTGTTGTAGTATTTTCCCTAACTTTGCAAAATCTTTGTCAAAATGTTTTCTTTGCATTTCTGCTTTCAACTTTCTTTTCCTGTCTTCTTCTTTCTTTTGAAGGAGCAATTCATCAAGTTCCTGTCGCTGTTTCGACCTTAAACTTTCATACCGTGCCTTGATTTTGTCAATCCAATTTGCAACATCCTCCGCATCTTGAGACTTGAGAACTGAGCTTGTGTTACTCAAGGAGAAATCGTCATGCAAGCTATTTATGGTATCAAATGAGTGTCCCTTCAGATTCGATTTAGTTCGATGGAGGCTTTCCAATTGGGTGCTGTTGATGAATGAGCTAGAAGAAACATTGTGATTGTCTTGCTCCTTTTTTGGTGGATTTTTGGTGTATTGTGACAGAGCTCTGCTGCTCATGATATGCCCTATGAAATATAATAGTCCACTTCTAGGTTGATCTTGTGGGGTAAATGCCCTTGCAAGTTACTGTTTGTATTTTCATGTACATTCACACACGCATTTTTTTTTTTCTTTCTTTTTATTCCGCTCATTGATGGGGTGTATCGTGTCGCAACATTTGGATCACGTGAATCCATTTCACGTTGAAGTTGGGTGTTGCAAGAAATTGAGGGAAATTCGGCTGTTGCACGAAAATCACAACTAACTGATGCAGGAAAGACCATTTTATGGTTATTAGCATGAATAAAATGCAAAGGGTTCATCCAGTAAGCTCAATCGGGATTTCATTGCCGAAAATAAATGATGTGTTTTAAGAGACGCCAATCAGCCTTTCCCCAAACGAAGCCGTATCACCCAGGAGACGTCAACGTTACACTAAATCAACTTTTGACCGTCTAGTACTGCGGTCCATCTCTTTCGATCTGATGCACACTCACTTAAACCTTCGAGTCAAGCTTCGTTAAGAAGTGTGTAAGCGCCGACGCATAAGGAGATGTCTCGCTTGTTGCTACTTCTGTTGAGCGTATCTAGGCACAAAATGGCCGTGTCTTCCATGTTTCACTGACATCATGGCCGACGTTGTCGAAGGAAACAGCTTTATACAGCAGAAGTATAGAACATGTGAGGTACTAAGCGTGTATGAATACACTGCATTCGCTCATACATATTTCCGAAACAGTAGTCAACGGTACACAAAGACAAAGTGAAATTTTTTGGAATGAAACGGAATATAAACGTTAAGTCTGACTGTGAAAAGATATTTCGAGGCAAATGCGCGCCTCGCCAGGTAAAACATTTGGGATCTTTGTTTCTTCAAATACGAGACGAGTTCGTTAAGACTGCCGCCACAAGCTCTCGACTAGTTTGGTGCCCACCTACACTATAAAGTTAACGAATTGGAAACTACGGCGTGAAAGGAAAAGAAAAAAAATAACAAGCAGACTTGTGAAAGCCAAGCCCACAGCATCGAATGTTTTTCTCTCTTGTGAACTTATTCTTCTTCTACTTATTGTTCAAAGTCATTCAAAAAGGTTATGAGAAAGTCTAAGTCTCGTGTTGCACAAAAGCGTAATTTCATATTGACCGCAAGCTTTTCAAAGAAACAAACAGTGGGTGATGCGATGCACCTTTGCAAAAGCAAGGGGGGGGGGAAGGGAGGGCAGAAGTAACGGAAGAATGATCCACCGAAGTTAGTTTCATGTTGATTGTAGACAATAGCGCATTGTCTCCTTTTAGTGAGTGATTGGGGGGCTTAAGTACGAGGTTTTGTATTGTATTGTTGTAACTAGACCTAGATTTACTGTTTTGTTTTGTGTAATGTTCTAAAAAGTCTAATTCAGAGTTTTGTGTGTGTGTGAGTAAAACGTATATGCTTTTATGCGTGTGCACTGTTTTTCATTACCTAAAGGAGAATCTACAAATACAGAGGAGTGGAATCAGAAGAAACAGTCGGGGGTTGCCGATGGCACATTAGTTTGGAAGTCTAATTGGTTTGGAACTGTCCAGTGGTACTTCCTTGTCGGGAGAGCTATTTTATATATCATTCTCTTACCATATTCACTTCACAAAACACCGTCTTGCTAAAACACCTTTGAATTTTACCAAGTGGTCAATAATACTGAGAAAAGAAATTAAAAAGGTTTTCTTCAATTTAACTCCCCTTGCATAGAGATACAACTTGCTACTATTCTTTCAGATTCATGTACATGGGACTATCGGCGTTTCTTGGTCGGTCCCGACAATTAGTGTCACTGGGTAACTCCTAAGCCACTTCTCCTTCTATGAGCATCCCCAATGACAAGTCATGTTCACTAAAAAACATCCACCCCAAACCATGCTTAGCAGCTTTTCTTCAAGTATATTCTAACAGTCTTAAAAGTAACCTACAGAAAGCGAAGTAAAGAAATCTTTCCCCGCCGCCCTTCTTGAATGACCAGTTCGAACAGTTGCTGTTTGTTCTACTTGTCAACCACTAATGAGGGGCGCTCTTTTGCTATTCCCAGTTCCAATTGGCGTTTCAATTTTCATCCTTCGACAGCACAAAGCTGCCTCGGGGAACTTGAAAATTTTCCTTTTGTTAACATTTTTTACGATGTATTTAGTGAACTAGTGGAGATGAGTATTGTACAAACCAAAATTTCAAGTGTGTCGTTGTATAGTGTTCAAAAATAACGCAGACTAAAAGGGCTGTACAATTTACAAGAGCGGAATAGCGCCAGAAAGAGAATTTCTTTTTTTTTCTTTTTTGTTTTTTTTTTTTTTTTACGCTCAATTTTGTTAAGCCAATTTCCTCTCTCTCAGCCCACAAAGGTGAGTACTCCTCAAACACTTTATCAACTTGTCTTCATCCTGATAAGCCCCTGCTCATTAGCAGCTAGGGGTTCTCTATCTTTGACACACCAGCAGCCCAAGGGTTAGAGCTCAAGCCTGAGTATGAGAATCTTTGGAGACAAGTAATCCCACCTTTTTTTGCATGGCATATTTCCATCTCAAACTGAAAATTTCTTTTTCTTTAAGAAGCAAAGATATTGTTGCACAAACTAAATATTTTAGCACTAATATTGTGTAATATTACAAACATATACAAATTCTGTTAATACCACAGCAATTACTTTCTTAGTGTAAAGCAGTCTAAATTTACCCTGTTATACATACATACATACATATGTTTGCCTTGTACCTAGTAATGGTAATTCTGGAATTTGGTTCCTAACCCCCTTCCCCTACAAGACATACGATAAATTTAAGATGGGTTATTTTAAGAACCTATAAATATATTCCTCAATTCCCCTTCTTCAGCAAACACCTCCCCTTCAATTGAGTACACACATACCTTCAATTTTCCAGTCAATCGCTACTCAGTATCCAGTCATCTTCTGTATATATAATTCACAATGACCGTAGAAGCAACCTCACCAATTGACGACATTGAACAACAACGTCCCGTTTACGAGCCAGAATATCAAGAAGCTTACACCAACTCAGCATTCAAGAACCACTTGATCGCTTTCCTCGGTGAGTTCTTTGGTACCTTTATCTTTTTGTGGGTTGCTTTCGTGATTGCTCAAATTGCTAACCAGGATCCAACCATTCCAAAACCAGGCGGTGGTTCCGACCCAATGCAATTGATTATGATTTCGTTTGGGTTTGGTTTTGGTGTCATGATGGGTGTTTTCATGTTTTTCAGAGTGTCTGGTGGTAACTTGAACCCAGCTGTCACATTGACTTTGGTTTTGGCACAGGCTGTCGATCCAATCAGAGGAGTTGTTATGATGATTGCTCAAATGATTGCTGGTATGGCTGCAGCCGGTGCTGCTTCAGCTATGACCCCTGGTCCGGTTGCGTTTGCCAATGCCTTGGGTGGTGGGGCTTCAAGATCAAGAGGTGTTTTTCTTGAAGCTTTTGGTACTTTTATCTTGTGTTTTACCGTCTTGATGATGGCTGTTGAGAAATCAAGGGCTACTTTCATGGCGCCATTTGTCATTGGTATTTCATTGTTTTTGGGCCACTTGATTTGTGTTTACTACACTGGTGCCGGATTGAACCCAGCTAGATCATTTGGTCCTTGTATTGCAAAGAGATCTTTCCCAGACTACCACTGGATCTACTGGGTTGGTCCAATCTTGGGTGCAGTTTTGGCTTGGGGTGTGTGGAGATTATTCACCTTTTTGGGATACAAGTCTTGTAACCCAGGTCAAGACAGCGACGAGTAGAGAAGTTGAGCGGAGAGAGAACGGCAAGAGTTGAAATGTGGAAGGTGAAATGTGGAAGGTGAAAGGTGGAAGGTGTTTTTGGGAATTATAAAAGATAAGGGGAAACTAAGGGAGAAATTAATTAATGTCTATAATATACGTATTTTCAAATTGGAGAGAAAGAAACTGTAGTTAGATCCTACCGGCGACTTATGTGCATCTTTTACTATGTTATTTACATAAAGCAGCCATGGTTTTCATCCCTACTTTGCATTCATATCACTCATTGTAAACAACAAGTCATCCTCATCTTCACAATCATCCTTCTTGATCGGCTTCCTTCTCAGCGAAGAGTCCTCTTCATTGACAGATAAATCATCAATTTTAAAGGATGATCGATAATCGTATATAGATGGACTGGTCGCCAAACCTGTGACGACTGTAGTGGGCTTGCTTTTGATCGTGGGTAAGACATTGCCAGCATTCGAAGTTGAACCACTGTTGCCATTATTCGAGCGCACCGAATGGACCGATGGCAATCTTGTAAGGCTCGATGTTTGCTGCTCCTGGTTGCTTGTGTCAATATTAACAATGGTGGTGGTTTTGGGTGGACTGGTGTTTGTTGACGGAGTCAAACTAGACGAAGTTATTCGTGACGTGATCAAAGGTCGATTAGGTTCAAGGCTGGTGGCTCTTGGCGAGTTTTCCCTCAATTTCGACTGCAATGACGACACAATCAACTGGGATTGGTCAAACGATCCAGGAGGTGAATTTAATGAACTCTTACGACTGCTTTGTCTCGATTGCAAAATAACGCTCGCATTAACGCTATCACCCAACTGTTGGTGCTTGCCCTTCAACAGTTGGTATCTTCTTAGCGCTGCGGTATCATTGGTATCAGCAGACTCCATTACAGGTCGTGTTTTAATGGAGTCATCCGTGCTGCTCCTACCCAATTTCAAGTCCGATTTACTATCAATCATTCGCACAAAATCATTGATGTCGTCATCCATGTACAATCCACTCAATGCAGCATCAACACTGTTACCATGGGCAAAATAGTCAGACAGGGGGGTTTGCTGACGAATGCTCGTGTTGCTAAAACGACGACTGGCTCGAGACCCAAATGAGGATGAGAATCGTGGCGTATTATTACTGCTGTCGGGATGCGAAAAGACAGCATCGTCATGTCCAGTGGATGAGCTTACCGATTTTGGTATCCAGGTACCATATGGGTTGCTGTTGCTACCCACAATCGGAACTGCATTGGATGATGGGGTGCTACTTCTGGGGTTTCTCAAAAACGCAGCCAAAGAAGCATTGGAAATCGACTTGTTGCTGGTGATTGAAACTTTCCTTTCCAAAGATGAGGGAATATTTTGAACAATAGCTTGCTGTCCTCCTATTCCGGTGCTAATGGGACCGGGTGTTGGTGAAATTTCTCGCGATCCAACTTTATAGGGCTCGCGGTGCAATGCAGACTCTATGGAGATTGACTGTTCTTTGCTAAACAGTGGGCTTCCATCTTTGGATGAGGTTAATGATGATGACGGAGAGAGAGACATCAACTTCCTAGCATCCTCATCACGTTTACCAAAATGAGCCGATAGGACTTCTTCATGTTCATGTAAACAAAAATCGTAATTGTTTCTGTAAGCGATTGAAATCCTCATCACACCCATACTAGTCTTGATGGGGGCAAAGTTCTTCTGTGTGGTATGTGGTGCATTTGGATGATTGATGATAGCTTTTGATAATCCAATTCGTCCCTTTGAGCTTATGGGTTGGCTACCGTCGAGGATCTTGTTGCCCAAGAATATCTTATTCATGTTCTTCTTTTTCAACTTGTATGCTGGCATCATCCTAGAATACCCATAAAGCGTCCTAAACAATATTATTGCTTGCTTGTAAATCAGTGGTAGTTCGTCAGAAGTTGCGATTCCCAGTTTTTGATCAAACTCAATCAACCAACGCTCCAAGACAACCTCTTGCTTTTTGCCACTTGCACTTGCCACAGTCCAAGGGTGTTTTTGCTCATCGAGTAGCACCAAAGTCTGGTTTGCTGGAAGTTGTCTCAAGTCGAGATATGTCTCGATAATCATTGGAGGGATGGATCCTACGTCCGCAGATTTCCACAATTTCAAATCCTCTTTGGTTGCGCCGTGTGATGACAGCATATGAAGATTGAACCATTTGTTGATTCTTTGGCTTTGTTGGTCAAGACTGCCACCAAAAGATGACTCATTAAATGATTGGGATTCAGAATGAGCTCTTGAATCTAGTATCACTTGAGCTGCTTTTGTAAAAAAATTTATTAGCACTTGGGTGAGCTTGGCTGTTTGCTTCTTAGCTGTAGCCTCACTTTGTGCGCGGGAAGCCAGGTCGACAGACATAGTAGTTAACAGATTAGCGTTGCTTGAAGTAGGACACAGATATAATGCAGTGTGGTGGCGAATGAGACTATATGAGAACGAGTCTATTCATTATCACTTGAAAGGCGTGTGTGTCCCTGAGAAGAGACGCGATTCTGATTTTATTTTGGTCTCTTGCTCTGTGTGAATGTTTTGAATGATTAGCGTTAAACTTTGGGAAAAATCCAACAACTAGCTTCTGTCCTGGATGATTCCGTACAAGGCAATGTTATTTTGTGTGTTGCCAAAATTAAACTGTGGATGTGTATGTGTGTGTGTGTTATTAAAGAAAAAAAGGAAAATACGATCCGTAGACGCGAAAGCTGATGTAATCCTTTGGTGTTTTAAGTGTGGCAGATCTGGCTTGCTATAAGATAAAAGGTTCACTCGTAGGGTAAGATACTCAGTTGATGCAACCTTTGTTGTTGCTGTGTGTGATTCGATTTGAGACCGCGTGTATTCAACCTGAACTTGAGGTGAAGAATATGCGTACAACCGCTTGAAAGATCTGAAGATCAGTCAGATAGACAACACAAAGCGTGTAATAACAGTATGTATGGGCTTCGAAGACAGCCTCAGAAAGAAGTGATGTAGGGTGGTTGTGCTTTTAGACGAAGCAATAGTGAATATATATATATATATATATATATGTTTGTTGTGGCAAGAAAGGAATCTGTTGCTCTCCCTGTAAAAATGACTCAGTGCGTGGCGTGTGTGTATTGTTCTTTTTTATATATACAGTATATATATATATTTATTTTTTTTCCCTTATCAATGACGGTGATAAGAGGTATTATAATAATACACCATACATATAATACTACATGAGCAACCCCCCACCCCCTCTTTTCCCACTTCGGTTTTTGCAAAATTCACTATGAAGCCCGTTCAGAGAAGTGAAACAAATATCAGTTTCCAATGACCTGCTTGATGTAACTCGGCTAATTTACGACAACACAAACACCAACGTAAATCACTCTTGCCCTTTGCAGCATATCTTAATTGTAAAGGGGGCCCACGAGGAGGGAGGGGGAGAGATGGTAGTAACTAGCAGGATGGGGACTGTATAGTGTAAAACACGTTTCTTTTACGTGATTTCAACGTATCTTGCAAAAGCCGACTCGTATAAACAACAAATTATGGAGGCAGTTCGTCCTTAATTCGTCTCGCTCGGGACCGACTTACGACAAGGAGAGTTCTGAGGAGCACCGATTTCTTGCACGGCCACTAGACGACCCACGACTCCAACCATTGCGCGAAAAATAAAAAAAGAATGCAGTACTCGCCAAACAACATAGCGCATCGTAAATGAACCGGAACAATTTTTTTTTTTTTTTTTTGTTTTTTTTTTTTTTTTTGAGATGAATTGAACTCATCAACAACTACACCTAGAAACACACACACATACCCCACTCCCCCTCCTACTACACTCCTAAACTAAGTTGTTACCATGGAGGAAGATGGTTTTGAAACAGTCCGGTCACTATCTCCCAAATCTTACCTATATACGTCAATTGCACTGACCCATTTAGGTGAAGTTGCATCAAAGATCATCTCAACGCTAATTTCCCATGGCCGTCAAACTGTCAAGGAATTGAGTCAACGCACTCAACTTACTTTGAAATCAGTTAAATCGGCATTGGTGTCTTTGATTCAACTCAGCTGCGTGTTCTTTTGGCAAGAGGAGAAGGATAAATCAACATATTACTCGTTGAATGAATTGGGGTTGAAAATATTGATCAACAGTGGGGATATATTGAACCACATCACCCAAGAGTACGGCGAAGAGGAGGCTGAAGCTGTACAGAATGTAATGGAGTTGGGTCATATCAAATTGGAAGAGTATCTCAAACAATATGATCTAGATAAGTCACAACGCTCAATTAAAGAAAAGATTATCCTCAAATTATTCAATGATGGATGGTTAAGAGTACTTCGCATTTACGACTATCACGACATGAATGATGTGTGGAACCAAATTTTTAATGATACAATGAAGAAGACCCCAAGATCGGCTACAACTTCAGAAATTAAACGTGTTGCTGAAATAACTGCAAACTCCAAAGAAAAACTATTACAATTAACAGCACCTCAACTGGCTGATGAATTGTACATCCACGAGCACGGGTTAAAGAAATTGAATCCGGAATTGGTACTATCTTTCAATTTGACAAGATTTGAAAAACACTCGCGCACAAGAGCATTCACAAATTTAGCCAAATCAAGAATCGGCATACTCACATCAAAGATTTTCGAAGCTGGATTAAAGTCAATTGAAAACAATACCCCCGATTTGACGCACCCGTTCCTTGAAATTGATGGGTTATTGAGCGGTCCAGGCGATGTTGATGATTTTAGAAATAACCAAGAAAGTGGATTAGTAGCGGAAAGAAAAATCATCTTTACCGCAAAGGATATATTGCGATATCTACCCAAAGTTTTGGACCTACGCGATTCTGTTATTTCTGATACTCTGGGGATCAGCGTGAAACGAGAACACCATGAAGAGGAGGACAAAGACAGTGGTGAACCCACAAAGCGAATGAAACTAGAGAATGGTCACAGCTTAACCACCTCTTCAACATTCAACTCCGCCTCCCACGTTGGTAACGTTGACGTTGACATCGACGACGACTCGAAATTAGCAGCTATTCAACAGCATTTGCAACTTTTAGCATCAGGAACCAACACCAAGTTTGTTGTCGAAGTATCACCAGGTCGTTACACTGTATCATTCCACCACCTTTCTCAAGTAGTCAAACAGTTCAACTACGAAGCCCTAATCAAGGCCACCATGAAAGACGAAGCTTTTCGAGTACTTCGATGCATCAAGCAATTGAGATTAGCTGACGAGAAGGCAATCGCACAGGGAGTCTTGCTTAAGGAGAAAACAGTACGAAACCAAGTTTACCAACTAGTCAAGGCCAATGTTGTTGAAATTCAAGAAGTACCCCGTAGCGCTGACCGCGCTGCATCAAAGACGTTTTACTTGTTTAGATACAAACAACAACCGAGTTACGACCAATTGGTCAACAGTTTGATCTTTGATATGGGAGAGGTGGTCAACATAATCAATACATTTGAGCAAGAAAATGCAATTCTTTTGGAGAAATGCCAGCGTGTTGACGTTCAAGGACACGAAGAGGAATACTTGATTGAGTCGGAGTTGAAAACATTGCATAGCTTGCAAAACAGGAAAATCAAAAACATGGTGAGATTCAATAGAATCAAGTCCTTGTGGGATATCTACAACTTGTGAATAATATTTAGTAACACATTGCATTGACAAACAATACTCTAAATGAAGGAAAAGCAACCTCTAAAGTCTGTATTTGAAAATGACTTTCTCTTCTCTATTCATCATCCTCATCACCTTCCTTATCAGGAGCAACATAAGTCTGTGGAATATCAACCTCAGTCTTGAACGTATCCAAACCAACTCTTTGCGCACTAACTTGAGCAGTATTGTCCTTTGGCACATGGTCAACAGAGTCCGACAACTCAACAATGGCCAATGGCCCCCACAACATGATCCCAGTGAGGGCAACAAACCATCCAATCAAACTACGGCCCTCTTTGGCGAAAACGGAGGTGAAGGCGGCCTTGTTTGGCCATACGGGCAAACCCTTTTGTCCATTGTTGATATCGGTTGAAATTTGTCTGGCAAATCTCAACTGTGTGGTGGGTTTGAAACGCAACTGCGATTGAATGGTTCTTCTAAACATTGAGGTTGGTGCTTTTGTTATATGGGGTAAAGAGATGAATGAAGAGTTGACGTTTTAGTAAGAAAAAATTTTCCCAACCAATCAACCTAAAATATAGAAGAGGACAAAACGGGGAAAGAGACATCGACACCACAGCCAATCCTATCAAAAGCTTAAGCGCTTAAAAACAGCTAAACAACTACTTTGTTACTAAATGCTTTGTGTCGATAAATGACAAGTAGGATTCTGTTTTGTTCCATAAATTTCGAAACAGAAAACAAAATTTTTTTTTTCTCTCTCTCTCTCTCTCTGTCTCTCTCTGTCTCTCTCTTTCTCTCTCTTTTTTTTTTTTGTTAAAATTGCTTCTTTCTCTTACTTTTTCTCTTTCTTTTTTTGTCTTTGAGAAGAAAAAGTCTCGGATCGCTTCTTTTTGTGTCATATCTCTCCTATAAGGTCTCCTTAAACCCGGCGAAATCAAACTGGTCCTCAACAATCTCACCACCATTGTGTCTATACCTAGCTTTAACTCTGAGCTTCAATTTGGCACCTGCTTGTCCAGACACTCTCAATACTTGGCGTATCTCATTGCCCTGATAAATCAAGGTATCTCCACCCGAAGTTGATGTAATGTTCAATTTTTGAGTCTTGGGTACCGCAATCAACAATTGGAATTGATCAATCGTGCTTGGTGTTTGAGACCTGATTACTGCCTCCACTGTTGCGTTACCATTGGCAAATTTCCCGGGAGCAAATGACACTCTGATATTTGCATTTTCAAATGCAACCATCTCCTTAGCGGCATTAAAACTCTTACTCAGCACTTGACTCTTGGGTTTGTCTCCACCAAAAATATCCGATAGAATATCGTTACTAGCTGTCTCTAGGCCATCTTCGGTATCAATCAAGTCCAAAAGTAAATCATCTTGAGCAGAATTTGCAGTGATCCCCCCAGAAACGGCGCCATTACCATTACCATTACCATTACCATTTTCGCTCCTCTTATTATGGGCACTTGGTTTGTGCAACTTCAATGATTCACGCTCCTTAACTGGCGGTGCCGGCATCTTGGCAAGTAAACCACGCTTCAACGCTGCATCTTGACCGAAAATTTCTTGATACTCAACCGCTCTGATTTGAATCTCCAAATTCGAGTCGTATGTCTTGGAGTTTATTATCCGCCTTAACTGCTCAATCACTTGTCCGTTTTTGAATTTCACCGATAATTTCAACACCGAGGTTAAGACATATGCAGTCAATTGGATATGCTCTTGTGTAGAATATGTTGAATTCTCAAGCAACTCAGTAAACAAGTCAACAATTTTATCCTCTGTAACCTGTTCCTGTTTGCCACCAACTTCAATGTGACCACCAAGTATCAAATCTCCATATTCACCCAAGGTCCAAATGGCAACCAATGCCAACCCAAACTGGTTTTCATTTTCCAAACACGACGAAAACAATTTGACAACAACGTGCTTCTTCAACTCCTGGTCGTTGCATTGTAATACCAATGCAAGTATATTGGAGATAATATCGGGTGTTAGCGCGTTACCTCCTGCTCTAAGAGTCCTTATCAATGTATCATAATGCCACTTGTCATTTGGAGAATATTTGCTAGCAGCAATGGTCAATTGCGAAGTCACATACGACTTCAACTCTTGCTCGGTACACCCTTCCAAAAACGTCAAAATTTCTCTAGCCAAAACTCGGATATTCTGTTCATTCATAATTCCAAATGACAACTCCAATGCCCTTCTCTTGATTGAGATATCCCCATCAGACAAACAATTGACAATAGTCGATCTGTGTCTCTGGACTGCCAAAGGCTCAACATCAACAATGCTCAATAGCGTATCCAAAGCAACATATCGAGTGTTGTTTTCCTTTGAAGCAAGAAACTTACCCAAGATATTAACACCCAAAATCTTTAACGATTGATCAGACTGGATGGCAAAAATGGTCTTGACACATTCATACAAAATTGCATTGGCGGCATTTTTACCACTATCCAAATTTGACACAACCTGCGTCAAAATATCATTAATCTCTTCCGAAAAAGGCAAATCCCTAGCCAAGGTTCTTATCGCGGACAACAAACTCACTTGTAAGAATGGATCAGTGGTTCCCATGACATCGTAATCTGGCTGGTACCCCATTGTCGCCACTCTTTTCAAATGTCCCACAACTTTGGGCATCGTCTTGATCAAATCTGGTCGACTTTCATGCGAGGCATAATATAAAGCTTCAATCAATCTCAAAGTCCCCAACAACACCGATGAGTTTTTTTCATTGATCAAGTCTAATGCTTTTGGTAAGAAAAACTCGGACAAGTCCGGCTCCTTTTCCACCAATTTCGCAGCAACAAAGCATGCCTTTTTCCTCAAAAAGTTATTCTTGGTATCAATGATGGTTTCCACATTGGTATACAAATCACGGGCCAACTCTGGAGATGCAATGTTTCCAAGACAACAAAGAGCCAACCCAACGATGTATGCATTGTGGTGTTGCATGTCGTTGTCCAATGAATTTGTCAACAATGTCAATACTTCCTGATTCTCATCCAAAATCAACATACATGCCAAATACCCCAATCGTTTATCAGCAAAACGTGGAGATGCAAGTAGCTTGAGACACTCCACTTGACCAAAATGCGTCTTTTCTCCCATGATGTACAAGTACAACAATTTGGAAATGTTTATTCGCCTCGTTGTTTGGTCGAGACTGACATCTCTAAAGGATGTTCTGATTGCGGCCGATTCCTTTTGAATGACTGCACGTTCGTCTGCAATTGTCTTGGCTTTACGCACTGCCTTGATGAAGGATCTTAAGGAGCCCATTTTTTTCTTTTTTTCTTTAAAAAAAAAATGGAGGGGGGTGGAGGTTGACGTGTTGGATTGGTGTATTTATTTACGTTGTATTTGCGTTGTGTTTTGAATATTTTTTTTTTTTGTTGTTTGGCTTTAGATCCACGTTGGATTGAGAAAAATGGTGTCTGCGTGGACAAGCCAGGTTGTATACAGGGAAAATTGTCTTGGAAAACTAGTGATCTTCGCATGCGACGACTTCAAATTGATGTGCAGGTTACAATTGGAGGGGGGGGGGGGATACAGCGGGTCTCAAGAGTCCTCTTGATCAACCATTCTGTTCGCTATTTGTAAAAGATTAGTTATAAAATTTGGCTAAAAAAAAAGGTGGAGTATATAATATCTACAAAACCACACACTTCTTCTTCTTCTTTTCCTTCTTATCCTTTGCTCTCAAGGACGCTCTAGTAGCAGCTTCAAACACTTCTCTAACACCTCTTCCAGTCTTTGCGGAACACTCCAAGTAGTCAGCAGCACCAATCTTTTGAGCAACAGATTGACCTTCAGAAGTTGAGACTGGTTGTTGTTGTTGTTGTCTCAAGGCTTCAATAGTGTGTGGATCATCTCTTAAATCTGATTTACAACCAACAAGAATGATTGGCACACCTTGACAAAAGTGCAATACTTCAGAAATCCATTTTTCCAAAACGTTATCCAAAGAATCAGGAGAATCGACTGAAAAACAAATCAAAATGACATTTGAGTCTGGGTATGACAATGGTCTTAATCTATCGTAATCTTCTTGACCAGCAGTATCCCAAAGAGCCAATTCAACTTTTCTTCCATCAACCTCAACATCAGCAACATAGTTTTCAAAAACAGTTGGGACGTATACTTCGGGAAAAGTTCCTTTTGAAAACACAATCAACAAACATGTTTTACCACAAGCACCGTCACCGACAATGACTAATTTTCTACGAAGTTCAGCAGGGCCGTTGACCATTGTAACTTAATGTGTAATGAATAAAGGGGAGAATGAGGTGTTTCTGTTGTTGTAGGTTGTATCTATGTAGTCCGTAATATGTATAACAGACGTGAGTTGGGGTGCTCTGTGTGTGTGTATGTGTGTGTGTGTTGTTTGATTTTCGATTTTTGTCGATAAAACGGACAGCTTTGGTATTTTCAAATGCAAATGACAAAAGCAAAGTAGGCTGGTTTAGAACGACTGTGTAAGTTGATCTATTAGTCCAAGGTAATGTGGAATGATGATGTAAATGTTGTTATCTACTCGTGTGATAGATAGATAGATGGATAGATAGATAGAGTGATTGATCAATCAAGCTTTTGGTGTGTTCAAAAAAAAAAAAAATTGTGTGTGTGTGTGTATGTGTATGTGTATGTGTATGTGGAATTTTACTTTTTGTTTTGAGAGATTGTTGAGAGGGAAAGAGAGAGATCACGGGTGTTTTACTTTGATTAATTTCACTTTTACTCCTTCGTCTTGAAAAGAAAAAAAAAAAAAAAAAAAAAAAAAAATTTTTTTTTTTTTTTTAAGTAGGCGTAGTAATTCCAGTGTCATACTTTAGTATCTTATGACATTAGATCTATTGGATTTTGTAACACGGTACACGTACTCCTTAGTATATAATTAATCTGGAATTCTAAATCCCTTCTTTGTGCTTCTTTTATTTATTTTTTATTTTTTTTTCGTGTAGCGTTTCATAAAAGTGGCTGAGGAAAAATATGAACAGTCCAGAAGATCAATATCCTAAAACATGTAAAATATAGACTCGTAAGCTAGACTAGTGGTTATGTTCTTAATCGGAAGAGGAAACTACATGATTTACCCGCTAGATGATAAGTAATTGGCTAGACTTGGTTCTATGATACAGCATCATGAAAGGAGACTCCACCAACAATTTCACTGGTTCCAGTACAAGATGGACAACTGCCATAATCACTAACACCCACAGAAACTGACGAAGGTTAGACGTGAGTGCTAAAGAGTGAAATGGGTCTCTCAATTGAGTTAAATACGATCCAAAGCGAAATAGAGGAAACATAAATCAAAGTTCACCGTGTCGTGCATCACGCGCAAACTCGTAATATACATACGTCCAGCCCCCTTTCAAATTTTAGTTACACACACACACACACACACATGAAATACGATAAAAAAGCAAAACTCAATGGAAATTCTCATTCTTCATTTTGTTTACCTGAGTGCAAAACAAGCTTCCAAACTAATTGCTTCGAGCAAGCATTTCGCTTCATCATTTTGCTGCTCTTGAAGTATCACCTCTGAATGAAGTCAGTTTTACATAATTCCTATGTAGACTACAAGAGGGCTGCTTTATACCAATTGTAAGAGCATTTAAGTTGCAATTCTCTATGTGTGTGGTTTTACTTTGCTATGCAGTCAAGTTGCTTTCAAAACAACTCATTGATCAATCATAACTCTTGAACAGGTAAAAAATTCTCTCCACTTGGTTGCAAAAATTTGAAACAAAAAACATATACATAAAATCGGAACTTTGGAAAATATGCACCAAGTGACTTTCAACCTAATCAAGACGTGTGGATACGAAAGAGCATACATCCTATCCGTGTCGTCGACAACTTATTACCGTTACACACGATAAGGTTGCACATACATTCTAATCTTATCAATGTTGTCACATCAAGAGATGAGCACGCAATGAGATAACAAAACTTATCTCCAATCACTGGCCAATTGAAACACCTTGCTCCATAGTTATCTCCCTCCTTATTGTCGTAAAAATGTGGCGGTCTAACAATAGTGTCACTGCAAAAAGAAAAAAATAGAGAGAGAGAGAGAGGGGCTCTTATCTTTTCGTGCCTCGCGCAATATTATCTGTAGCATATTTTTAAAGAGCAATACAAGATAATGACGTACTGATAACAATCAGTGGAGATAAGTCATAGATAGGCTTTATCTGGAGTTTCGATTACAAAGTCTAGACAGCAATCCGGTCTGGTACATGTTCGATAGGGATCGGCTGCGTCATATGAGGGAGCAGCAAAGAGCAACTTTTTATGAACAATTTCCCCAATTCATGTACAAAACAACTCTTACACAAGCGCGAATGCCTTTGATCAGACCTTTGTACACGACCCCATTCTATTCGGTTTCAATAAGTAGAACTCAGACAAAAAAGCTGATCACTCAAATCACTCCCCTATCAAGCCTCGTAAATTCTTATCACAGGGTAACAACTTACTTAATGTGGAGAGAAGGTGCTATATCCACAATTCCTTTCCGACAGAATATCTAAAAATTAAGCTTTGTTTTTCCTTTTTGTATTTCTCTTTTGTCTGAAATTTGCGTTTGCGGTTTTGTTATCTGATCGGCAGGATATTTTTGTAAGGAAATTGAATTTCACTGCTACATCAAAGATAAAGGCGGGGGGGGAGTAATAATCAATCTTTACTTTATTTTTCTCATCTGTTGCACATGGGTTGGTTGCTACCGCCACTTGGTTACAAAATCTAACGCTGAGAGGTATGTCTAGAGATTTAGTAAAAGGGAATGGCATAAGCCCAAACATTAGCTTAATCAGACAGACAATTCAACCCCCCAGACAGACAAAAAAATAAAGCTTTCATTTTCTTTTTCTTCTTTTTTTTCTTTTTATTTGAAATTAGAAATGTTATATATATTGACTGATTATGTGTAGATTAGATAACAAAGGAGTGAGAGCAACTAAGAAGTAAAAAAAAAAAAAAAAATTAAAAAATAAAATCATCCAATAAATAACTACCACGTTGTCCAAAGTACACTACCCACTCAGAAGTAACAAAAAAATTTTTCTTCTTTTTTTTTTTCTTTTTTATCAGCGACAACAGAGTCAAAGATAAACAACACATCACAACACAACACAACACAACACAACACATTACACTTTAAGCACGAGGGATAAGAAAAAGAGGGGATCACAACACAGCTATACAAAAGTATACTCAACGATTTTACCGAATAAACAGAAGCACACCCACACACCCACACCCACATTCTAATTCTCAAGTAATCTTAATATTACACTTTACGGTGTTACCAATAGCAGAGAATAGTTATCAGTTTTATCACACACTCGTTTATCTAAGCAAGAAATTTTTTTTTTTTTATTTTTATTTTTTTTTTTTTTTTCAACTCCTGCTACCACTACCACTACTAAACAAAAACAAAGGGCAAAGCAGAAAAATATTTTTTTCCAACCAATTGAAAAATTTCTTTATCTTTCTTTTCCCACACTTCCAGTTCGTATCTCTTATCAGGACATTTGCTAACACCAATACTACTTATTAGCTTAATACGTACTCCCACATCCGTCTTCACCACTACCACTATCACTGCCACCACCACCTGTACATTCTTTTTTATTTTTATTTTTTTCTTTTTTCAACTTATAGAATATGGCTTTACTTGATATCCAACTGCGCCCATCTCAGCCAGTCCAGTTAAAGAGTCCTCGCACCAATGACTCTCCACCAACTGTACTGCTACCAAAGTTCGAAGAGACGCTAAAAGCAGCAAAGGGGGGTAGCCCGGATTCTAGTGCCCAACAGCAGCAGCAGCAGCAGCAGCAGCAGCACCCGGAACTCAAGATGCTCAATGTTGGTAAATCCACAGTATTGACAACGTCAGCTTTAGCTACTCCTCCGACTGTCAAGCCTACTGGGGAGTACGAATCTAAAGCCAATTTCCAATCTCCTAGCTACCGGAATGGAGAAGTCATCTCCCATCCTTTCCCTACTCCACCATCCAAGTTAAACACCCAAGAGTCTCCATCTTTGCCAACACTCCCACCTAATGCACCTGGGCAGGAAAAGCCACAATCAGAGGATAACAGACCCAATGCAAAACCAGCTTCACACGGAAACAGTGAAAATTCGGCAACTAATTCCAAAGCAAACCTTTCTGGTCCCGTTTGTCGCAATTGTCAGACTCAAACTACACCATTGTGGAGAAGAGACGAGACCGGACAAGTGTTGTGTAATGCTTGTGGATTGTTTCTTAAGTTACATGGACGTGCAAGACCCATAAGTTTGAAAACTGATACAATCAAATCAAGAAATAGAGTAAAGCAAGGTGCAGCCAACTCGTCTTCAAAAGGAGCATCATCATCCACAAACACACCCGAATTGAAGTCAAAAGATTCAAAGTCAGGTAAAAAATCACCAAAGCTGAAAAAGTTTAGGACCAATGGTGGTAATATTTATCATGGAAACGGTACTGATTACACGCCACTTTTACCAGCAGGTTCCACCAGTACCAATACCCCAGCAATGTTTAAACAAGAAGCTAGTGGCAACAATGCAGGAGGATCGCATTCGTACAATAACTTGTCGTCAATGCAAGGCAACGGATACTATCAACAACATCTGTTGCATCATACGCCACATTTTCCTCCCAATGTACCAAATCACGTGTTGCGAGCACATCAACAAGTGCCGTTACACTACCCATCATCTACTCCAACTCAATTTGCTCCTGGATTGAGAAGAATTACTTCTCCCTTGATGTTATCTAGTACGTCTTCATCAGCAGTCAGAAATGAACCAAGGGATGCAACAACGACAACAGCTGAAGCTGTGCCTGGAGGCACTGGTTCCTCTGCCTCCACTTCAGCTGCAGAATCTAGCTCAATGCACGCAGCAGCTGGAGTGTTGGAGAATTTGTCCAATGAATTGGGTCCCAGTGCTACTTTCAAGTCAGATCTCAGTGCGGCATCAAGACAGAGGGGTATTTCGTTGATGAATAACAAAGACCAAGGTCCAAACAACAGCACCATGTCAACAGCAACGGGCTCAACATCCTCTATTTTCTCGAGTGTGACGCCACCTCAATTACCACGTTTGCCTGCGTTGAATGCAAAATCCCCCGCTTTTTCAGCTGTTCATTCGAGATCTTCCACTCCAACATTGCCACCATTGAAGCAAGTTGCATCTGGTGAAATCACCTTGCCTTCTTTGGCCAGCTTCACACAACAACAGCAGCCACAGCAGCCACATCAGCAACATCAGCAGCTGGTGCAATTAAGCCAGAGTCACCAGACTGTTTCAACTGCACCACATTTCCAACACGCCACCGGAGACCTGTCGTGGAACAATTCTGCACAACCTTCCAACGCACCTAGTCGTAATGAAACTCCAAAAGGAAATGACGATATTTCCCATAAGGAGAATAGCGAGAGTAACAGCAACAACAGCAGCAACAGCAACAACAGCAGCAACAGCAACAACAGCAACAACGACTCCAACTCCAACCCAAGTCACGAAATCACCATTTTGAAAACGCGCATTTCCGAGCTAGAGCTCGTTAATGATTTGTACCGTACTAGGATCATGGAATTGGAAGCAATGGAGCACGCCGCAAGGCTAAGAGAAACATCCATGAGGAAACGGTTGGAAGAAGCAGTTGATTTGCAAGCTAGTCAATTGGATGAATACAACCGTAACAAGGCGTCGAATGCTGCCAAATTTGGTGGCGGCGCGGGACAAAAAGTCCTCTATCACCGTCCAAGCGATCCTGAGATTGCGGCAGCGGTTTCCAACTCGAAAGTCATTGGTTACCAACTGTACTTGCCTCGTGGTGGTCAGCAAATGGCTCAAGTCCAACGTCTGGGAATTGAATTGGGTGAGCGCTTGGGACAACAACAACAACAACAACAGCAGCAGCAGCAGCAGAAACATCAAGTCGATGCAAGTGCCTCAAGGCTGAACAGTCGGTCAAGTACGCCAGGTCCAGCGGATGGATCTACTGAAGTGGGAGGGTTCAAACAGCCTTCTTCTTTAAAGAGAGATAGCAACGATTCGTCTTTACATGGCGGTAAAAAGAGATCGAAATTGAAATAGTTTAATTGTTAAAACACTTAATGATATATCTGTATTTGTATACTTTAAAAAAAAAGTCCACTATAAAGATTGAAAGAAAGATGCAAGTGATGCTTCTAAGTACGAACATCTGGTTCCTCCTTACCCAAGAACTGTTTGAACTTCAACAAGTTCAACACAAATTCAACATCCTTGGCCAAGTATTCATCAACTTTGACTTGATAAGTTGATGGGTCATTTGAATGCTTTTCCAAGTACAATCTCACAGTGGCTCCAGAAGATCCAGTTCCTGATAAACGCACAATAAATCTCAACCCATTGGTAAACTTGATAAACAATCCTTGCTTGGAGGAAACTGACCCGTCCAAATCGGTGTATGAAAAGTTTTCAGCTTGCTTGATGGCGTAACCAGGAGCCAACTCATCACCTGGTTTACGTTCATCTACTATGCTCTGCAACAAGTCAATCAATTTGTTGGCGCCTTCACTCGACACATTCTCATAATCGTATCTAGTGAAAAACGTTCTTCCATACTTGTCCCAGAATGAATTTTGAACAACTTCAATCGATGTTGGCTTGCCTGGGTTTGATTTGTGATAGTCTGCCAATAAGTTCAACCAAGCAACAATAGCCCACAATCCATCCTTTTCTCTAATGTGGTTGGATCCAGTACCAAAACTTTCTTCTCCACAAATACTCAATTTCTTGGCATCAAATAAGGAACAGAAAAACTTCCAGCCAGTGGGGACTTCGTAAACATCGACTCCCTTGTCCTTGGCCACCAAATCAATTGCTCCTGAAGTTGGCATTGATCTAGCCAATCCATAAATACCTTGTTTTTTAAAATATGGAATAGCATCGGCGTACTCCGATATAATGGCAACTGAGTCACCCGGTGATACAAATGTGCCAGCGCCATAAATCATATTTCTATCACCATCACCGTCCGAAGCAGCACCAAATGCAATGTTTTCCTTATCTACTCTCTCAACCAATGTATGCGCATACGTCAAGTTTGGATCAGGATGCAATCCACCAAAATCACTCAATGGTTTATAGTTTTGGATTGAGGATTCAGGCAAGCCCAACTCTTCAATGAAAATCTTGTACCCGTATGGACCAGTGACACCATTTAATGCGTCAAACAAGACTTTGAAATCTTGTTCTTTAGTGGCCTTATCCAAGAACGACTTGATCAATGGGAAATCAAAAATATCCTTCAACATTTCAACATAGTCCTTTGTGGAATCAATAACTTCCACCTCAATTGGCCCAGCTTTAACTTGCCCAATCTTGGAAATATCAACATCTTCCAATTGTGCCAACTTGTAATTGGTCAACGTTTTTGAAATGTCAAAAATCTTGTTTGTCACCGATTCAGGGGCAGGTCCTCCATTACCCAAATTGTACTTGATTCCCAAATCATTCTTTGGACCACCTGGGTTGTGACTTGCCGTCAAGATGATTCCACCCGTCGCACCCAACAACCTAATCACATGCGAGGTTGCTGGTGTTGACAAGATACCATTCTGACCCAAGATAACTTTCTTTACACCATTTGCTGCAGCAATCTTGATAATCAATTGGATAACCACATCATTGTAGTATCTTCCGTCACCACCAATTACCAAGGTTGCATCTTTGCTACCCTCTGGGATTGCATCCAAAATTGCTTGAATAAAGTTCTCTGTATAGTGGGGCTGTTGGAAAACTGTCACTTTCTTTCTCAAACCTGAAGTACCTGGCTTTTGATCTTGGAATGGTTTGGTATCAATTGTTGCAATCTTAATGTCTGACATTGTGTGGGAAAGGGGCTAGGGTGTCGCTGGTATTAAGCTAGCAACAAGAACGCAATTTTTGTTGAGATCTCTCCTTTTTCTCTGGTAGCAAATGAAGAAAAAAACAAGAAAAAAAAAAAAAAAAAAAGAACAATTGGAGATCTCCTTGTTTGAAGTAATTTTTTTTTCTTTTTTACGTGACATACAAGACATACATGTCATCCATTAACACTCGCCGGATCCCTTTGTCGCAACAGAAAGAGAGGAGATTGAGAGTAACTTGGTAGACTAGTCAATGAGATGATGCATCCATACTGTTGAAAAAATACACGTGTCATAGCCAAGGAGGAAAAGCATCGCTCTCGAAGGTATTCATCTCAGCAAGTATGAGACTTCACTTGTCAACCGAGTCTTTTCGAAACCTTTGGGGTTTTGTTCCGATCTTCCACACTGATAATTGGTATGCACGCTTGTGGTGTCCTCCGACCTAAATTTAACCCTTCCCCTCACATTCGACCCCTTTTTTTTTTTCATTTTTTCCTTCCCCAGTGACACAAAATCGTTGGGCCAAAAGTTTCGAAATCAGCATTAAGAGATCTTTCTGTACAGAGAGTTGAGAGGAATTTGAAGTGGTGGGCATCTTTCACTTTCCATATTATTTGGCGCTCTTTTGAAACTTCAAGACCCACCCTTCACAAATTTTCTACGTACACCACTTCAAAATCTCCCAAAAGTATCAACTATTGCAAAAACTCTACACATACTAAAATATACCTAAATAGATCATCAAAACCTACATCTCTCAAGGGAAGTGTCCCTTTCTTGGTCCAAAATATCCATCTGGAGCCAGTTCAGTTGCATTCAAACTACCAACCATATTTCCATCATACCCAGTGTAGACAACCGTGTTACCCCACCAGTTGATGTCCTTTTCATGATACATGACTGCAAAGAAAATAATGATTGACGAAAAAGCAACACCTGCATCCAAACCAGTTGAAAGAAGATAGTTGTATTTTTGCCACCAAGCTTCATATTTCCTTTTGATGTACCACATGAAAGCAAATGATGCATAAACAGAAGGGATGTAGTAAGACAAGTTGTATGGTGC